CCACTGGGCTAGAATGCGTCTCTAATCTAGACAAACAACCCCGGTCCGTTTTCATGTTTCACGCTTTTTTACCGAGCTGAAGAGCTAAACGTAATGCTTTTGCAGACTAAGTTTGAAATTTTTCGCAGAAGCAGTTGTGTCTAACCACCAAATGAATTCAGTCGAATAACAGGTACTGTTCAAAAGGACACAGTAGTCGGTCACTCAGCGCAACTGCCTCACACCTCCACGCTTTTCTGGCAAACGTCTGTGAGTGTTAGTCTGGAAAACAAACCAAACCATAGTTAACAACGGTGAGCCAAGTGAGTGGTTATATTTTGGCTTATAAACAATGCGAATTGCTAACAATACCATGTACACCGTGCATTTCAAATGAGCTAGGGTAAAGCTAGGTCTGGTAGAACATCGATGCAAAAGACCCTCGTAATCTGACGGCATTCAAAGAATCAAGTTACCATCAGACCCTTCTGATCAAACAACGGGAATTAAAATCTTCCGCGAACACTAGGATCACAGCCGTCACAGTTTGGACATGGCGCATCAATTCAGAAGCAACTTAAGTGAATGAATGTGATCAAATCTGGCACAGTTAATTTTTCAATGATTCGTTNCATGCGGTAGGAATGGTACTTTTAGTAGAGGTGGATTCAACGACTAATTCTAGCTGGTGAAAGCCGATCGTCAAAGTACTGACATGGTGGCAAGGCTCGTATGATTTATTATAGTGCCATGCAGTTAAGCTTTTGAGGAAATCACTAGCTCTATTGAACTTCTTGGGACTCATCGTGTAAACAGACTCCATGAATCTCCGCTAAGACTGTTTCCCAAATGAACAGCAAGATTTACACCCACATCAGAAACATTCAGTTGAAGAGTAATTCCATGTTGACTGGGGATAGCTGAAGTTTACCGTGCTCACTCGTTTGCGATGTTCTGAAAATCTACTTCACTTTCATGCAATAATACAGAAGTCTATGTGAAACTCAATGAGTACATTTTACTCGATTTAAACTTTGAAAATTTCACTCCTATGAGAAAGAGCACTAGCCTTACCCTTTAGGGACAGAGCCAACCACTTTCACCCTGTGTTTTGCGTTCAATTCCAAAAAATGGGAGATAACGGTCGCTAGAATGACCTGTATAAAAAATAAAACAACATTTTATTATTCCGAATAATCTCTCAGGAAAACAAACAATAAAACGTGGAACCAAAGATGTATTTTCTTTGTCCAAACGATCATTCCTCAGTGGTGACTGAGTGGAAATGTGTCCAGCGTTTGTTGACAGCAAAGGGGAATATTATCCATATTCTAACCTTTTTGTATCCATTTATCAACCATCAACCATAATTTGCAGTGGATCGCGAATGTGTGCATCGAATGAATTCAGCTTGAAAGAAGTAATCACGGGTGATTCTTCACCAAACTCAACTAAAGAATCAAAGGCAATACTTCCATAGTTTGATTTTTCTGTAATGAATAAGTAGTCTATCATTCACTGAAATATTGACGCCACAAACATGAAACTTTTATTTTGAGTTCTCTGGACCTTAACGCATAATCTCAAAAAACGTTGATATGCTCGCTCAATCAGAATAAGTATGTTCACTGAGGTGGGCAAGTTGGTTGCGAACGTTTAATCATGGCCCTGAGCGGTATGATCATTGCGTCAAAGTACAGGTAGCGAGGGCTCAGCCGTTGTGAACTAACGAGAAAAAACTCCAAATATCATTTGCTCATTCGCAAAATCGAATGAGAAATCATATATACTCTCATATGGTACTCATATTTAAACTCTGAAAATATTGGTTGGCCACACCCAAGATTTTTGGAGAAATCGGTTCCATATCGTTCACGTCTATTGGGAAATAAACACGTTTCCTCTTGCATTTCAAATTTTTTATAATACTCTCTGGGAGTCATTTTGCTTTCTTACGGCGTAGAATCAGATTGGTTTGTTGGTAACAGACCAAGATATTCGATAGTTCAAAGGTCTGCGGAGAGCCAGTGGTATATCAGAGTGACGAAATTTAAAGAAAGAAAAGACGAAAGGGTTAAATTTAACAAGTTTGGTAGGAGTTCGAGAAAGCCTAATCTCAACCGCGATCAATCTTTTTTCCTACCTGGTTAGTAGACTTGTGGTAATCCAGCACTAATTCCCCTCCTCGTCCACCTTTATTTGTTTCTGCACAATAAGGCTTTCAATTAAACCATCGTTTTACGGCTTCGAAGCATCGGTGTTGAACACTGATGTCATGCTGCCGATGATGATGATGACCTAGTTAAGAAACATTCAAGGACGCTGACGATTGCTAAATTTGGAGCAATCTTAGTCAGTTTTTAAGTCTCCATAAATACAAACGCACAGCAGACTGATAGAAAACGAATCAATTCATTCCGTTTGGTGAAGTACGAAAATATAGATGAACTGCCGGCATCTCGACACCGGAAATGTGCCCCATATACATAATTCTTCTGCCTACTTGTGAGTAGCAAGAATGCTTTCCAACTTTCCTTTCGAAAGAGCCAGTGTGCGCAGTGACACTGACACTACGAAGCTTCTTCACCCCAATGACTGTGTGCAGCTGAATCATGAGACACGAAAATGGGGGTGTAAAGCAACTGGTGTGTGTTACTAGGAGATTACCAACGGGGCCGGTTAATATATGCGTTGCTAAAACTTAACTTGGTCGCATCAAGTATGAAAAATGGTCTGAGTGGGTGGGGTGTAAAGCAACTGGTGTGTGTTAGTAGGAGATTAACAACAGGGCCGGTTAATATATGCGTTGTTAAAACTTAACTCGGTTGCATCAAGTATGAAAAATGGTCTGAGTGGTGTCGACTCCCACCTCTCCACACACACATACAGATATCGCCAAGAAAGAGCTCAGTCTTTCTGGACACCACTTTATCCCCGCAAACCTTATGATTGAGTCTGTGGACAGAATGCCAACCCTCCTGAATAGGTCGGAATATTTTTGCAATGTCAACCCTATAAATACCCAATACGACCTTAGAATTATTTCCAGATAGCCAGAATGCCCAGTCTAGATCGATTGGGTGCTTCCAGTGTGCATATTCCATGCTTCCATTTGAGCTTGGCAGCTGCTTCTTGGGTGAATTGTCAAATATTGTCATTCAGTTTCTTCTGTCCAACGAAAAGCCAACTTTCGTGTGTTGTGAGCTGTCACTCAATAAATGCTCAATTGTGTGACTGGCTGAGATATTTAGATAAACATTTCAGGAAGCCATGGGCCTTCATGAAAAACAATTCGTCTCTATCCTTAAAAAATGCAGGAGGTATGGTTCAGTTGTTCAACAAGAGGACATAATACACTTGGACGCCCATATACGCTAAGATACCATCGATTTTCAAGCCAACGGTTTAAATGGTATCGTAAATGAATGAAGCCACAGAAAATTTCACTGACCATTTTCTGAGGATGCTTTTACAAATTGTGCTTCATTACCCGAACACTTTAATCACAGAGATGCCCTTTAAAGCTCGATAGCATCATACATGTTCGTTAATTTTACTAAAGTTTGTTGCAAGCAGATCCTGTCCAAGAACTAGAGAACGGAATCTGTCTTCAGAACAATTCAGTCCAGTTGCTTTGATGCAAATGTTTTAGGGTAATCTTTATCAAGTTTCGAACACCAACTGTGCCGGTGCATATCCACATTCGGCTACAGGTGCTCGAAGAGTCTCCTACATAGCGGCCTTGGTTTCTCACTTTTACCGTTTGCTCATTTGATAAAACTGAGGACGACCGGTAAGGCACTCCAATAAAAGGCGGAACAGCAAATGATAACAGCAGGAGACTGATGTAGAAAATACTTGGAAAATCACTTCAGTTAATAAGATTCCGCAATCAAAATGGTCGGTTGAAGTGCTAGTTCATCGAGCATTGTGTAAGAAGTATATACATGGAACTGGGTCAGACATAGATACTGATATAGGATTCAAAATAATATGACGGATTTCTGCAAAAGGAACGGGTATTCTGCCTGATTCTAATTTGGTTCCCCGCTAACCCTGGGTCTTTGAAGGTCCCCCGAATACTGAATGCTGGTCAGAGAGGACAAATCTAACCAGGACTCACGGGATCTCCTTGTTTGCGGTGATAACCAGTTGCACTCAAACAGCTACAATTGCTAACACAATCCAGCTCTTTGTTTATTTTGAGGGAAACTTGATTGGATGACATGTCATTACTGACTGCACTTGAGGATATTTTCATTGATATCGCGAAGCTCACAGACCATTTATGATTAGCGACTGACTCCTGTTTTGGGGATGCTCAAGCGGACCGTCAAAGTCTGCCCAAATGTTTCGTATATAACAACTGCCAAACCTAAAACCGACAGTGCCTACTAGAAAAGCTACCTAATGAGGGACTGGATGTTGAACGTGATTCAACCTGGAAGAAAGTAGCCTACTACGTCTTCCATAACAGAACCTCGTCTATATAAAGCCTCAGTTCTGATTTACTGGCGATGAATACCTCAAACCCTACTGCCGGCTGTCACTATGCCGAAGCTTTTAGTCGCAGAATCAGAAATACCTACAAAATAACCCAAGACACAATAAAGGGATGCATCAGCTGGAGTGTGATAACCCCTGGAATATATATAATCTATCTCGAAGAAGCCCCCGGGGTTGAAAATGTGAATCAATTTGGTGAAAACAAAACGTAGTTGAAGTCAAATAGCAACCAGACTAACAATAACCAAGTCAATTGGAATCGGGATCTTGATCTTTCTAACAACGTGTGGGTTGACCCAATTCTTCACGACAGCCAGGATCGTTATGCAGGCCGCCGACAGCCCGATTGTTACAAGATTTGCTGTGGTGATGGCCTTGAACACTTCGTAATAGGTCTGTAAAAAACGCAACGGAAAATGTTCATGGTAAGCGGTATACATCACATGTGTGAGCGTTCTTGCCTAACTGTTGAATATATTATTCACTTGTGCACAAGCAAGATTGGGAAGATAACTACTATGGACTATCCTATCACATTGGATCTTGTGTAACTGGCCTTAGCTATGAGAACTAGCCTGAGATGCCCAAGCTGGAGTGAGAAGACTTGATATGCGGCGTGCTCTTTACGACCAGCTACGTGCGCATACCTAATTCTCTTAACTAGGATGCATTCTCGACTGAATGACCAACGTCCACGAGTCTCCAACTGCCGCAAATGTAATCTCACTGGGCTAGAATGCATGTCTCTAATCTAGACAAACAACCCCGGTCCGTTTTCATGTTTTACGCTTTTTTACCGAGCTGAAGAGCCAAACATAATNTTTTACATGGGTAATTCGCAAAGACTGTGCCTTCCGCTCTCGGGAAACTGTCTTGCGTAACATGCGTGATGATAGTTGTCCTACAAACTATTCTTCAGAAGCTGGCATTTCAGCTTTAATTATGACTACTTCATGAGCAGTCTGGTCTTTCAACGTTAAGTCGACCTGCCATTGATTAAAATCCGCTCACAATTGAAAAACAAAGTGCTGTTCCAAAAACCAACCGCCTAGGATTGCTTAGTCAAAAAGCAAACAAGAGTGCATGCAATAAACACTCGTCATTTGCGCGTTCAAACAAACCGGAGACTTTCAAAACGGAACAGATGACAATGTGCCCAAAAACTTACTTGATTGCTGTCGACTTCGTAGTCAAATCTTTTGGAGAATATCCGCGTCAAAGAAATATTCACTGAATAAGAAACAATTGCGATCACAATTACGTCACCGATGGAGTCTCCGACAAGTGAGAGATCCGGCCCTTTTGGAGGAGGAATGCTGAAAGTGGTTGGTTTCAAAATGACTGCGGCAGAACATCAAACATTCCAACAAGAATATAGTGAACTGCAAACCTGTTTATCTAGGAA